CACACACACACTCTCTCTCTCTCTCACACACACACACACACACGTTTACTTCGCTATCTAAATGGGGACATTACATAGACTTCTATTATTTTAATGTCAGAAGAAATCAGAAATCAGAAGAGCTTTATTGTCAAGTATGTTTACACACTTGGAAGGAACTAGAGCTGACGACAGGAGCTTCCAGAGCAGAAGAAAGTACAGACCTACTGCAGACATACAACACAGAAGAGATGGAATATAGCCTAACACTAATATAAGAAAAACTGAACATTTTATAACTTAATATCATACAGGAGTAGAAATATAGAGAAGAAAACATATATAATTGTTCTTCTTGTTTTTGGGTTTTTTTTTTTACAGTCAGGACATTTTTCAAAACTCTTCACACAGTTCTAAACAAATTTCATCTTGGAACAGCAGTTCATTTCACATTCAAACTGCACTTAAACTAGCAAAACACTTCGTTAATGTCTCATGAACTCATTCTGCCGTAACACCAGCAAAGCTTTCACCAAACAAACACTCTGCCACTCAACACAACCTGAAGACACTAACCAGAGAGCATCGTGACAGCCAGCAGAGCGCACTTTGTGTTCCCATCAGCCCTTTCTCTGATCGCTCCATCACCTTCAGCTTGCTAGCTCATCCTGATGTATACCCTGCTCTCTGTGTTCTGTTGCTGGGTTCTTGTCTTCTGTTCTCTGCTTTTGTGGATTACACCACATTTGGCATGTTTTTCTGCTTTTGTCCCGATGTGAATTACTGTTTTTGGACTCTTTAATAAAAGCTGTAATGGGATCTTCTTGTTTGAGAGCATTTCGTGACAAGCATTATACATTGTTTGCTTTTGTACAATTTCTTTACAGAACGAGAATGACACGATTTATTGCTTGTAGTTCACTGCCGTATGTTACGTAGTTCATGTTTGCATTACAGTACAGAATCGTTCCTCTTTTGTATGGTAATGAAAGTGAAAAACTAACGCTTGTGTAGGTTTTCAACTATATTAAATTGCTTTGAATTAGTTTTTTGTTAGTTTTTTTTTTTTTCAGTAATTCAGAATAGTTCAATATGGTATTGCTGTAAAAATGCAGCAAATTATGCAGCTTATTCATTTTTGTGTTATGTTAGGTTTTGAACTTAGGCTTAACAGTTTTGTAAAGAGTGTAAACAGGTGCAAACCGGCTTGTAGGTGCATAGAGTTTTGCCGATGTTGTTGTCTGAGTGAGAAAATAATTTGTCATTTGAATGATGTAGTTACTGAATGCACTTTGTTCCAACAACGGTGTTTAGGGCCTCTCATCTACATGACCAGTTTACATTTAAAGCATTTACCTTATTCTTCATCTTCATCAATGAAGGAACGTGAATAGCTCTGAGTTTGATCTCTGTCTTCAGAGGGACACTTCTCATGCAAACCCAGATCACGCTGTCATCTAAACAATCACTGAAGGTATGTCTCTGAAATATACGTGTGCAGAGATTTTATATGTTTATCTATATTTCAATTCAGTATTCTTTAAACATGAAGTAATGATGTAGTTATTGTTAGAGCATAACTTACTTCAGTAACGGGACGTTAGCCTACAGCTCATCTGCAGGGTTTCAATACTACTTACACATACAATATACATATGAATTTATATATTTACAGTAACTTACAGTATATTCCAATGTGTGTGTTTACTGTATATTCAGTAGTTTGGTCTTTGAACTTTTCTCTTGTAGTGCTTTTCATCTGCTGTAAGATCTCTTTACAGTAGTGCAGATACAGTAACATTGTCTTACAGTGTATTGCTGAGTGTTACTGTATCTGTGTCGAATACTGTAACAGACACTGACTAGCAAAAGGATTCCTGTAACGTAATTTGTATTTTTTTTCTTTTGTTTGTTTTTCTCTCTCCTATGTATTCCCACACATGTTCTATGTTCTGTGTAGAATTATATTTCTGCAAAAAAAACAAAAACTAATCGAACGCTATACTCGGCGGGAACACCAGAGGGCGGGAACGCTTTTCCCGCCTGCTCGCGCTGCAGTTCGTGCGCGAGAGAAACCAACGGCTCACACGACGCCAGGAAACAATCCAGCAGCGCTTTGCACGACAACATAAAAAAGCAAAACAGGTAATAAACACCGTTAATCACATTCACAACACCGCGGGATGTCTCACGGTAAGAGCCGGCCTCGGGTGTTTGCGCGACAGCTGCGTTTCAGGCAAACATCTGCAGCGCTAGTTATCTGAGGTAACGTGCAGATGTTTAACTCTCTTAATGGTTGACCATTAAACGTGTTAGTTCTCGTGTAGGTTACAAGCAGGTGCTGTGCTTTATTAAAGGTAACGTTAGCGATATTCGGCTTCGTGTTTCAGACGCTTTTCACGACAAACGTTCAAATGAAACGAGCTGAGGGGAGAACTCCGCCAGACGGAGGAGCCGGTCTCTGAGTCACATTAATCGCGTTTATCGCATATAACCGAGCCGCGGCGTTAGCGTGTGTTGCCTTCATACGGCGCTGATTTGTTGTAAGAGTGCGTCTGGATGAGTGTTGCCAGTTTCACAACAAAACCCGCACAATTGCTACTCAAAAACTAGCCCAGTCGCGTTTTGAGGGGGTTCCCCGATAAAAATCGCGTCTTTGGGGAGGTTCCCGAAGTGAAACTCGCATTTTATGGGTTAAATACCACGTTATTGTGGTCGCTCAAAGTAGCACAAAACCGCGTGAAAACCGCGGACTTGGCAACACTGGTCTGGCAGCAGGTGGGGCTCAGGTGCTTTGTGGGAAACGTAACTGAAGAAGTGTAATCTGGTCCAGTGAGTTTGAAGCTTGCTTGCATGCTGTGTTTCATAAGGATGTCAGACTCTGAAGACTCGGATCTGGAGGAACGAGCAGACGTGGTGCGACACCGAACCAAGATCGTGAGTAGAATTGAGACGAATGCATCAGTCTGTGCTGAACACACCTGTGATTCACTGTTTCTCACTCAGATCTATCAGAGCCAGTTCCCGTACATTCACATGGAGCCGCCCGGTGAGTGCTTGCAGCTCTCTTTATCATCATTCGTGATCATCTCTGCAGGTGTTTCAGTGTTGCTGTGTGTTACAGACGTCATATACCAGCGCTGGACCAAGATAAAGCCCGAGGTGAAGAAGCACGTGGGTCATCTGATGCACGTGTCTGTGTTTTGGTGGCATATCCTCCTGAGACAGCAGGACAATCACCCCACCACCTTCTGGGCCGTGGAGATGGGCTTTCTGGACTCAAAGTGAGTCGCTCTCAGGAAAGCGTCACATCTGATGTGACAGTAGGCACGTTTCCATTACAGATTTGCGCAAAACTTTGGCGATATTTTCTGAATGTCGTTAAAAAAAATGACGGTGTTTCCATTAACTGATGTTATGTGGCTAAAACGTAACCTTTTGCCTCTCGCGGTAAGTCATGGCAATGGATTTTGGTGTGATTTTGGCTATATTTATTAAAAGGAGGCTTATGCGTGTATCTTTTAGTCATGTTGTAAGTCATGGCAATGGATTTTGGTGGGATTTTGGCTATATTTATTAAAAGGAGGCTTATGCGTGTATCTTTACAGAAGCAGCACAGAGAGCCGCTTCAGAAACGTGCGTGGCGCGGCTGGAATAAACCATGGACTGTATAAAAACATTAACACAAGCATTGAGTGGCCGTATCAGAGCCACACTGCACCGCAGACGTGTGCAGTGTAAACCGTCTAAGCATTAATAGCAGGGAAAGCCTCTAATACTGGAGCGCAGCCACTTATGAAGTGTTTCTTGGAGGTTATTGTACGTTGAAGAATGATCATATGACTTTTTTCATACGCCATGTGACCTGTAAATGCGAAAAAGCCGTTTCCATTGCAGTTTTGCAAATTATTCCTTTTTCGCATTGCCTGAAAAACCACCTCATGCGAGCGTAGAAACTGTTTTGCGATATAGCCGTTTTTGCGAAATTGATGCGATTCCATTAGGCGTATTTTCAATTCGCAATTTGAAGGGTAATGGAAACGCACCTACTGAGGATCTGAGAAGTTTCTTTACAGGCTCTGGCAAAAAGATGTGTATGTTTTACCAATCAAATTATAATTTTTTTTAAACTAGTCAACTTGGAAATAACACATGGTACAAGTAACATTTTCTTTATTAAGCATCTGCTTAAAGTTCTTTTCCAAGTGCAGCACACAAGGAAGGAGGCTTATGCGTGTATCTTTACAGAAGCAGCACAGAGAGCCGCTTCAGAAACGTGCGTGGCGCGGCTGGAATAAACCATGGACTGTATAAAAACATTAACACAAGCATTGAGTGGCCGTATCAGAGCCACACTGCACCGCAGACGTGTGCAGTGTAAACCGTCTAAGCATTAATAGCAGGGAAAGCCTCTAATACTGGAGCGCAGCCACTTATGAAGTGTTTCTTGGAGGTTATAGTACACTGAAGAATGATCATACGACTTTTTTCATACGCCATGTGACCTGTAAATGCGAAAAAGCCGTTTCCATTGCAGTTTTGCGAATTATTCCTTTTTCGCATTGCCTGAAAAACCACCTCATGCGAGCGTAGAAACTGTTTTGTGATATATGGCCGTTTTTGCGAAATTGATGCGATTCCATTAGGCGTATTTTCAATTCGCAATTTGAAGAGTAATGGAAACGCACCTACTGAGGATCTGAGAAGTTTCTTTACAGGCTCTGGCAAAAAGATGTGTATGTTTTACTAGTCAGCTTGGAAATGTAAATAACACATGGTACAAGTAACATTTTCTTTATTAAGCATCTGCTTAAAGTTCTTTTCCAAGTGCAGCACACAAGGAGTTCCACATGGATGTAAATGTAAAACACATGATTTGTGAAATATCTTTCATCAGAAAACATGCATGAAATATGAAGGCAAATGTTTTTCAATTGGTTTCTTAAACGTACTCGCCCATATGTTCAAAAATAGTAAAAAAGAGACATATTTAGCTAAAATGTAGACCTTGAGTTTTAGAGGTCTTCTCATAAAGTCAAGGTGACTGAAACTCTTCCGGACTGTCAGTATAACAGCAGAAATAGATGATTATTAACAGTCAGAGGCGGACAGTAGTGAAGTATTTTTACTCTGCTGTAAAAGTACTTTTCAGGTGTCTGTATGTTGTGTGTTTTGTGCTGGAGATGTTCAAAAAGTACCGACACATAAATCACTTCAAGTTTTATATTTAAAAATCCACAAACAACAAATAAAATGACTTTTTGTTTGCATAATCACTAAAACAATAACATTAGCAATGATGTTCGGATTCCTACTGAGGATCTGAGAAGTTTCTTTACAGGCTCTGGCAAAAAGATGTGTATGTTTTACCAATCAAATTATAATTTTTTTTAAACTAGTCAACTTGGAAATAACACATGGTACAAGTAACATTTTCTTTATTAAGCATCTGCTTAAAGTTCTTTTCCAAGTGCAGCACACAAGGAGTTCCACATGGATGTAAATGTAAAACACATGATTTGTGAAATATCTTTCATCAGAAAAGATGCATGAAATATGAAGGCAAATGTTTTTCAATTGGTTTCTTAAACGTACTCGCCCATATGTTCAAAAATAGTAAAAAAGAGACATATTTAGCTAAAATGTAGACCTTGAGTTTTAGAGGTCTTCTCATAAAGTCAAGGTGACTGAAACTCTTCCGGACTGTCAGTATAACAGCAGAAATAGATGATTATTAACAGTCAGAGGCGGACAGTAGTGAAGTATTTTTACTCTGCTGTAAAAGTACTTTTCAGGTGTCTGTATGTTGTGTGTTTTGTGCTGGAGATGTTCAAAAAGTACCGACACATAAATCACTTCAAGTTTTATATTTAAAAATCCACAAACAACAAATAAAATGACTTTTTGTTTGCATAATCACTAAAACAATAACATTAGCAATGATGTTCGGATTTTAAATGATAACCTGACTGACAACAGTTTAATAGCATGTTGAAATATCTCATGCAAATGTTCAAATAAAGCTTGGAAAAAGTTTCATAAAAAGGTAAACCTCACATTTCAGCCTTTAAATAAAGAAAAGGGTCAAGTCAAAATGATAATTGATTAATAGATGATTATATGTGATTTATCTGCTCCATAAATAATTCTAGATAACTTATCTGAATTGTTTAAATGTGTAGAATCCACATAAGCTTGTTTTTCATCAACCGGTCAAAATGTACAGCAGGGCACACAAATCCGGTCCGCTTTTGGCCAGACAGAAGCTGCACACAGGCTGAATGTGAATATAGGTCTCTGCTAATCCACTCGCTGACACTAGGTGGCGCTGATGGAAAACTTAATTTTCCTGTAACCTCCGTGGACAAAGCAGTATTGCGATTAAGAACACTTTCTTTAGGTATTACATAGAGCGAAGATGAAAACAAAACTCGAATCGAATCATTTCTGAAGACAGTCAGAACCTTCAGAGGTACATTCATATAATTAATTCATTCATATATTCATTTGTATGTCTTATTTGTATGTATCTCTTTTAAAACCTCCCAGTTTTCACTCAGAACGAAACTACTCTGCTGCTGTGCGCACGTGAGACTGTTACTTAAAACTGTGCTTTATGCTGGACAGTATTTATTTATCCGGAGTTGTCCAAATCGCGGTAATCTAATACGGTATTAATGATAATTAAAATATGAAATGGTAATACTAACCGTGGGGAATTTTATCACGATTTATCGTCAAACCGGTAATCGTTACATCCCTAGTCAGCATCATCAAATATTAGACGTACAGTAGTAGATCTGCACAGCTTTCTGCTTTTCCATTGTTTTTCTTTGTAAACTTGCACTTGATGGACATGTTTGACCATTGCGTTCGTGTCTTGCATCTTTTGCAAACACAGGGCTCAAATTTCAGAATTCTTCAGGCAGGCATTCTTCAGATTTTTGTTGTCCAAAATGAATTTAACTGGCCTGAATAAAAAAGATATTGGCTGAACTTAACTGTGGACAAATCGGCATGATTGAAGACAACTGTGATTGTGTTTTTCCTTCAAATAACAAATCGTGAGAGTAGATGCGTCATGCATCACAAAATTCATGGTTCGGATCATATTACAGAGTTTGAGTCACAGGTCAGATCAAGTTTTGTTTTTATTTAAAGAACTGTTCTTCGATACCACAGCAAAAACAAGTAGCATAACTAGTAAAGGCCAAACATTATCAAAGACAAGTGAACCTTCAGTAATAAAATATGAACAAATAAACAAATTGCATGCAAAGCTTAGGCAAATAAACTAGAACAAAGTTACAAATAACATGAGGTCTACAAATAACAGATCGATTCCTATTAGAGCAACTGTATTCAAGTGTTTCAGTCAAGAGTAGTGAGTGATTTGTCTCTGTGTTTTATTAACATTAAAGGAATAGTTCACCCAAAAATAAAACTTGTCATCTGTCTGTCAATTCTGCCATAATCTTTTATTTTGATACCATAATATACTCACTCAAAAGTAGTTTTAAACCTGAATGGGTTTCTTTCTTCTGCTGAACATAAATGCTATTTTGAAGAACGTGGAAAATAGTATTCCATAGTGGACCAGCAACTTTCTTCAAAATATCATCTGTTGTGTTCAGCACGACAAAGGAATTAATACAGGTTTGGGATAACATGTGAGTGAGTAAATAATGACATTTTTAGGGTGGGCTATCCCTTTAATGACAGTCGGCAGCATGTTTAGTACTGTCCCTTTAAGACCAGCACGCATCTAATATACAGACATGCATCCGTTTTTCTCTTTCATTTTAGACATAACCAATTGAGTCTGTATGTGAGCCTTGTGAGCTCTTTAGTGCGTGCTTCGGGTGTACATGCTCAGAAATAGCGCACGTCAGAACAGCACGTGAATGAAAACTTTAAAGCGCATGCAAGTAATGCAGCATCCCGTGAGGGTAACTCTATTGCTGAGTTAACATTAGATGTGAATGTGTTGTACAGTATATAGATACATTGATTCCAAAGCAGATCGTGGAGACATTTTTATCGACAAACCGCACACCCCTAATTCAAATTAATCAATAACCTCTAAAAAATCGCCCAGCCCTAATAATTGTTTTTCGTTGTCTGTGTTTCAGCGTGTCGAATGATTTGAGTCTGAAGAGGCTTGAGAAGATTGAGATTCTGGAAAGCAAGGGTGAGCTATCCCTTTAATGACAGTCGGCAGCATGTTTAGTACCGTCCCTTTAAGACCAGCACGGATCTAATATACAGATACGCATCCGTTTTTCTCTTTCATTTTAGACTTAACCAATTGAGTCTGTATGTGAGCCTTGTGAGCTCTTTAGTGCGTGCTTCGGGTGTACATGCTCAGAAATAGCGCACGTCAGAACAGCACGTGAATGAAAACTTTAAAGCGCATGCAAGTAATGCAGCATCCCGTGAGAGTAACTCTATTGCTGAGTTAACATTAGATGTGAATGTGTTGTACAGTATATAGATACATTGATTCCAAAGCAGATCGTGGAGACATTTTTATCGACAAACCGCACACCCCTAATTCAAATTAATCAATAACCTCTAAAAAATCGCCCAGCCCTAATAATTGTTTTTCGTTGTCTGTGTTTCAGCGTGTCGAATGATTTGAGTCTGAAGAGGCTTGAGAAGATTGAGATTCTGGAAAGCATTCTGGATGCCATGGAGAGAGGCGTACGTATCTGTCCTGATGAACGTTCACTGATCCTTCACCGCTTCTTCAGTGTCATGAAACCCCTCTGTTTCAGCGCTGGTCTTTCACACCTTAGATCTGAAGAAGACTCCAGAAATGGCCGTGTAAAACTGTGGAAAAGTGGGAGTGAAGAGGGGAGAAATCAACCAATAAAACACAGACCTACAACACGCTCATTATACAAACTAGGGATGGGAAGATTCCCCGATTTGCTCGGTGCATTAGTATAAAAAGTTAACGATGCGATGCATCGATTTCAAAATGGCGCTTTTCCACTGTGTGGTACGACTCGGCTCGGTATGGTTCAGTATGATACAGCACGGCTCAGTTCGGCACGGTTTGCGTTTCCACTGCAGTTTAGTATCGCTTTAGAGTGGGCGGGATTATTCACATGTCGTTATAGTTGCGCCGCCTCTACTGCTGCGACTCCTAAAAAACTTTTTCATTCCGCGTCGCCCCATCTAGCTCTCGCGGGATCCGCTCCTCTGCTATCAACGAGAGGAACGTCTGTTCTTCCGCAACAGGGGGAACAGCCACTTTTTGGTTGTTAAAAAAAGGTGCGCTCGTTCAAAACAGTTGCGTTCGATCCTTCGCTGGCTGTGCTGGTTTAAATCTAGCGGGTCTGTTTGTGTCTCATGTCGCAAGTTCAGTGACGCAGGTAGTGACGATTTTCTCCGGCCAATCCGTGATCAGCAGAGTTTACACGTCACGTTTTGGTAACGGTACGGTACACTTGGAACCCCAACCGAGGTGGTACTAAAAAAAGTACCAGGTACTGTACCCAGTGGAAAACCCCCAAAAAGTGAACCGTACCGAGCCGTACCATGCAGTGGAAAAGCACCAAAAGTGTGCATCGGCTACAAGTCGGCATTTGTATCGCGATGCATAGTTTCTAACATATTTGCATCGGTAAAAAACGATTTATTTTTCTATAATTACTAGTGGATGCGCTATACTTTTATTTAGAAAGTGACCAATAATCTGTGATCTATGTATTTGTTTGTCAAGCGCGTCCTCTCATCATCACCGCTGGTGCGTGAATATGACGAATCACAACACCACAGAGACCCGAGAAAAAACTGGGATTAAAGTCCAAAACCTGACTTGAAATAAAGTGGCTAAAGTGGTTCCATAAACGACAAATTAAGTTCACTAATTTGTGCACGCTTATTCTTAAGCAGCCCTTAATGTCGATCATGGATCAAATGGTTCATGTTCGGAGCATGAGAGAATATACTCACATAAACTTGAAACATGCTTGCTGTGGTCCAGATATGAACTATGATCCTCGCAGCGATTGTTGTTAAACCCATCGCGGCATTCAGCGCAGAAACCGCTCTCTCATGCACCGCTCTGTTGTCATATTAAATATTATTACGGTCATGTTTACAGAAACGAACTGATAGTGCTGTAATTCTCTGCTGTAAGACGACCTCATGCATAACACAGCGCGCTGATTGGATCGGAAGAATTCATTCTCATGAATAATACTGAGAAAAGCTGGGAAAACTGATGTAGACGTGTACTCTCCAGCCACAGCAGCCAATCTTCACTGCACATTCAGTTTTCGTGACGTTGGTTCAACTTCGCTTTTTGAACCGAAAGAACGAAATTGCTCAAAAAATAACCACTTTTACCTTTAATAATAGATGTAATGAGGGAAGTTGTTTTCACTGATGTGCAGCGTGTTCATATATGTGAGCCTGCAGCACAAAAGCAGTCATAAGCAGCACAGGTATATTTGAAGCAATAGCCAACAATACATTGTATGGGTCACAATTATACATTTCTCTTTTATGCCAAAAATCATTAGGATATTAAGTAAAGATCATGTTCCATGAAGATATTTTGTAAATTTCCTACCGTAAATATATCAAAACTTAATTTTTGATTAGTAATATGCATTGCTAAGAACTTCTTTTGGACAACTTTAAAGATGATTTTCTCAATATTTAGATTATTTTGCAGATTTTCAAATAGTTGTGTATCAGACAAATATTGTTCTATCCTAACAAACCATACATCAATGGAAAGATTATTTATTCAGATGATGTATACATCTCAATTTTGAAAAATTGACACTTAAGACTGGTTTTGTGGTCCAGGGTCACATATGTTAACGTCTCAAAAAATGTGTTTTAGGGTTTCATGACTCTTTCAGGTCTGATGTTGTGTCTTGTTTTGCTCAGCTGTCTCACTCGGACATGGAGACGAAAGCCCGAGCCGCGGTGTCCCTAAGCAGATTGTTTTCCATGGTACGTTGCTGCGCCGCTGCGGTAAGCTTGTTTTACTCGTGTTTGTGTGTTCTGATGTGCATCTGTCTGCAGGACGAGGATTGTTTGCCTCAAGCCATCGGCTGGCTGCGGCACTCTGGAGATCCTGACGTCGGTAAGAAGCTGATGGATCTCGGATCGGTGGAGATTCGCTATCGGACGCTCCGCTTCATCTTCATCGAGTGTGAGTTTCATTTCCAGTAGTAGAGATGTCAAACATGTTCAGGGCAGGGTTATTATAATAAATGAAAACCAAAACTGTCATAACATTTTGTTTTTGACATAAGATAAATGTTAACTGAAATAAATTATGAAAACAAAAAAATTGCATTTAGTTTATCTTGAAGTACTAAATTATAAATTATATATATTATAAATTTATATATAATATATATATATATATATATATATATATATATATATATATATATATACACAGTATACATAATAAAGCTATGCTAGCATCTCAGCAGTGGTTCAGTGCTGCCAGCATCTGTGAGCTTCATGCTGGATCCTGTTTGTGCTCATTAGCACTGACTAACGAACGTCTGGCCCCACAGATTCACGTTATCTTCAGGTGATTTCATGCAGTAAAAAGAAAGCCATCGAGGAGCTGAAATCAGAGCCGGACTCTTGGGCTTTATCGGTGAGAGTCTTTAAGATCAAATAACATGTTTGTGTACATATTTAACGCACCGCATTCATAGGATTAAAATCTGATTGCTGTGGGAGTTCTGCTCTATTAAGTGGATGTGGGACAGAAATAGGATACTGCCTTTCATTCCAGAAAAGCGAAGATATGAAAAACAAAGGAAATGAGCATTTTCAGAAGAAGAAATATGATCTGGCGTTGAAGTGGTACACCAAAGCCATTAAATACCAGTGAGTGACAGAAGAACCTCACTGCTTTAATTCCCAATCCACGTCAGTTTCCCAGGTTTTAATCGAATGTTCGTCTGTCTGTTCTGTTTTCAGCCCGAGCAACCACATCCTCTACGGGAACAGAGCGCTCTGCTACATTCGCGCGGAGAAATATCTGTGAGTTTAGAGCAAACCATACACGATGATCATGATTGACCAGCGATACTGATTGTGGGAACTGTTTTCAGGAAAGCACTTGGAGACGGAAAGAGAGCCGTTATATTACAGCCAGACTGGGCCAAGGTGAGTGCTGGTTCACTGAAAACACTGCCATTATCAATATTTGAGTGAATTCTCGTTTTGATGAACCGATAATGATCTATGATGTTTTCAGTTGATACAAGAACAAAACTCAATGAAACATTGTCGAGTCATGAGTCATGAATCATGTGATCGATCAGTCAGCATTCCAAGCACATGAGATCAGTTACGTCACATTTACCTCAGGAAAGGCATTCAGTGTCCATAAACTCGATAGTCTGCTAGAAAAATAACTATATGCACTGTATTACATGCTGTATTTTTACTTAACTCTTTCAGTATTTAATGTATGTTTGAATAAATCCATCATGAAAACAAGTTATGACATGCACGCTTTAAATGTTTATATTTCAACAAACAAACTAGTCGAAACTTAATTATATAATTTAAAATGACATTATAATAATTTAGTATATAATAAACGTTTATTATAAAAACTGCCTTGTGTGCAATTTAAATGTTTGTTTACAGGTCACTTTAATATTGTTCTGTACCAGCTGAATTCTTTTGCTAATAAACTAATAAATAACTAAACGAATGCTTTTTTGCATTCTGCGTTAGAGAGAGTCTGTGAAAGAGATGCTCAGTGTTCAGAGTCATTTGAATGGTTTTCTCAGTGAGTTGTGATGAAGCTGTGTCACCATCACATCCAGAGCTTTGTGTCACGTGTTCTCTGGGCATTCAGGGTCACTACCGCTTCTGTGATGCTCTGTTCTATCTGGGGGAGCATCAGAAAGCTCTGACGGCCAACCTCCTGGCTCAGGACGCCTGCGGCACAGACACCGAGGGACAGAAAGACCTGCTGCAGCAGCACGAGCGCTTCCAGACGGAGCTGCAGGAGAGCAGAGGTAACGTCTGATCCTTCAGCACGGCTTCAGTGCTGAGCCACCGCAGCAGAGCGCTTCATTTGTGTTGTGTTTCCAGCAGAGATGAAGACCAAGAAAACCGAAACGAAGAAAACTTCTAAAAGCAGGTTTGTGTTTGCTCTGTTGCTGCTCTGGATTCGCGTCGTGAGCGGATGATTACGGTTTGTTTTGTAATGCAGATCACACGCGGCTAGCGATTCTTCAGGTCATCATCAGAAATCCAGTCATCAGCCGGAAGCGGCGTCTCAGTCTTCAGTCCTGGAGAGTTCGGTGAGATGAAACGCTCAGCCATGGCCAAGCGCTTGCGCTATACTGTGAACAGTGTTATTGTAGATTTTTTTTTTTAATGAACTGTTATGGTTTACATAACGTTTTAGATTAGCTTTTATTTTTATATTTAAAACTAGTCTGTTTTTTGTTTGTGTCATTAGCTCTAAATGTTTTAATTTTTACTCTGGTTTGTTTACTGTTTAGGTTTCATTTAGTTTTAGTTCCTTCTGTGTACACGAGTGTCTTTTTTTAACCAATGTTTCAAACTGCAACAATGTGATTTTTATTTTATTTTTCTCTCACATGAATGTAAAGTCTTAATTGCTGTAATGTTCTTCTCTCAAACACCAGCAATCTGAAAACTGGAAACACCAGGATGACACTGCAGGTGAGGGACAAGATGCTTCAGAGTTTTTAAAGTGAAGTTGTTTTTGAATTTCTAACCTCATTGACTGCAGTGTTGGACATGCGTTGACCATCTAGCACTGAGAAGGATCAAAGGATTCTTCAGAGCAACCTGTGACTGTTGCAACCTGCTGCATTAGAAACACTCTCACATTAGCGTCAACTGTTTTTTGTAATTTGATGCAAAGGTGATATAATACAAAGAATAGTGTATTTACGATGCTGATGACTGTTAAACGCGTCATCACGGTCTTCGTTATCTCACGGTGAATGTTGTAAAGGGTTGAAGCATCTGTCTGTTCCCAGCTTTCCTCCTGCTCTTCAAGGCCACGGATCTCAGATGTGTCGGTGTTGTTAAAGCGTCAGTGATGGCTGGAGAGCTGGTGTTTGTAGAGTTAAGCTTGAATATCGTGCTGCTGGTATAATTGGAAGGATGTCAAACACAGGAGGTTTATTTCATGCGAGCGTGTTCTGGCGAGTCAAACTTTCCCTCCACAGGAAATGAGCTTCTCTGAGTGTCTCCTGTCGTGTGTGTGTGTGTGTATTTACTCCTCCTCCTTCTTGCCGCTGCGCTCGTTTCTAGAAGAGACGGGTGGTTGGTCTGGTCCTGCGGGTTCTTGATTGTCTTTACTCCGGAGATTTACTTCCTCACGCGACGCAATAATCCCATAATTCACATCTTTTCAGGGAATTCAGGAGCTCGAGTGTTCGCTGAAGGAAGAGCTGACATAAAGAGGTAATTAACCAGGTTATTAAGAAAATGACGGGGGAAAACAGATTTTTGTAAATGGTTTCTATTGTTTGAGATGTTAAACTGATATGATTTATGACGATTGCTTTGTTACATAACTTTAAAGTGAACCATGAACTATTACTGACCGTAAATAAGGTTAGATTCACTTTCATTTCACCGTCAAATTGAAGCTTTTTTAGATTTGGGTTTGTTTCAGACAGTAACAGGATGTTCATTTCTGCTGTTTCCTGCTGATCATCTCAACCAGAATTATTAACATCTTAACTAATAGTAGAACTTGAAAAAGTTTCAATACTTGAAATAAAATTGGTGACACTTTACAGATAAAATTCCTTTTGTAAACATTAGTTAAAGAAATACAGTTCTAAAGCATTGAGTAATCTTAGGTTGTTATTTGCAACATTTAATTATATATTCGTAGTTGTATTTGCTGTTGTTATTATTTAGTGGACCTGAGTTGACATGAACTGAACAGGTGTATTTTTATTAACTAACCTTAACAAAGGTTAACAAGTCTTTGCTTATGGTTTTATTATTATTATGACTGAATCGTGCATTATTATTATTGTTGACAACAATATACAAACTGGACTGTCTTTGTTCATTGTTAATGCATAAAGCATTAACTGAAATAAAATATAAAACTTACATGGTTTCAGTTAGCATGCAGTAAACAGTTTATTTTGGTTTTGTTGAAGTATTGAAATGTTAAACTAAAACAAGCTATCTAGACATTAAAAAAATGAAAGTTTAACTATGATGAAAATCTGAACAGGAAATCCAATTCCTAATATTAACACAAGGTATGATATTATATCAGTGATGGTAAACAGCACTGGTGTATGAATCTAGCTTTCGCTGATGTTTGTTTCCAGTCTTTCTGTGCACTCGTATCTGTGACCTTGAGCGGAAACAGTGGACTGATTTCATTGAGCCGCTTGTAATACTGTGTTTATTCCTGATGGCTGTTTCCTAGTGAAATGAGTCCACGAAAGACTAAGAAAGCCTCATCCGCTGTCCCAGAGAAGCCGGCGGTCCGGAGCAAACACCCCCCTGTCCCGGATGGACCGAGCCCTCCAGCGGTGAGTGTGTATGTGTGTGCATGCATGTATGTGTGTGTGTGTGTGTGTGTGTGTGTGTGTGTGTGTGTGTGTGTGTGCGCGCTCTGACGCTGCTGTGGTGTCTGCAGGAGGACGAGAGCGAGGCGGGGAGGAGGAACCGCTTCTGTGCCGCCGTTCAGGAGGCTCACGTGGCTCTGAGCGACCAGCGCTGCCGGAACGCACAGCAGTCCTTCTCTGTGGCGCTCAGGATCCTGGAGTCCAGCGGGACCTCGGTACTGTGTGTGTGTGTGTGTGTGTGTGTGTGTGTGTGTGTGTGTGTGTGGTTTAAGAGGACACAATTTTGTATAATAAT